TACCATTTACTCCGGATCATCTGGGAAGATCCGGAGCCCTCCATTCTTGCATCGGGATGGCTATCTGCATAGGCATCTTGCTGAGCAACCCAGACCATCCATCATTCACTGTGACATCCAAATGAGGTGCACAGCTATGTGATCATTGCTGGATACCTTGTTCATTCTGATCTTAGAAGTGAGCAACCCATGGTAGCAGGCACACTGGGCAACTCAGTGGGATGCCCATACAGACAGCCGTCTCAGCATGAGAATGGTGGGTCAGATAACAGGGGGAGGTTGAGATACTTCAGGGCCAAGATACTGGCCCTTGCAGACAGAGCCTATGCCTGCTTTATTTGTCTGCTAGACCCTGTGGAGTGGGGTGGGGATATTGTTGGTCACTTTCTTCTTGCAAATACAAATTACTCTGTTTGTAGATTACACAACTGTCTCTCATATTCCTCAATACTCTTTCTCCACTCATTATCCCAGTGAAAATCTGCTCTGGAGGACCCTCTGGAAGTGGGGAGGAGGAAGAGAAGGCTGTAAAAAGAGGAGACAACTAGCAAAATAGCTTCCCTTTCCCTTCCACCAGCTAGATTCCACACTGGACATTGGGTTCATCTGTAAATGGCAGAACCCTTCCTTCCATGGATGCCTGTTCAGGAGGTATCCCAGCTTATATGTCCTGGATAGTTATGTTGGAAGTGTAAAATCATTTTAGAAATAGACACCGGTCCATTTTAAAAATTCTATCATGGGTGTGGTTGCTTTCTATTGCCCAAATAAAGTACAGCTGGTTTGATGTTAAAGAAGAAACAATTTGCTCATATTTGTGGTTCACTTGTTGCACTAGCTTCCTTTGACAATGGTGACAGTCCCTTTATACATCAAGAAATTCTTCTCCCTTCTGTGTCTGCCAGAGGTTCTTGAGGGAATACTTGATACTGGAATCATGTTTCCCTTGGGGACTTTTGCATTAATAAAATAGTTCTGATCAGTAGCCCATTGTCAAACAGCTCTTGCAAAATATAAAAAGAAAGATTTGAAAACCTGTCAGATAAGTAAAACATTGAATCAAGCTATGTTTTCTCAGCAGATGAGGGCAACATCTATGTTTTCCCAATAAGCCAGCAGTTTAATTCATAATGGATGTTTTTTAAAAATGTAGTTTACCAGGAACTTTTTCAAATCAAACGTACTGCCATAGGGAGAATATGCAAAACACACACACATACAACATATCTATATCCATGATGTTGTGTCAAAATGTTGAGTGGCTTGTTGTATTTATAGGAGGAGTGGCATCTCCTGCTTCTGGTGAGCTCAAAGAACCCACTACTTATGTGTAAAATGATCACTTGGGATGTGCAATTTCAATGAGGGTTGGATTCCTAGATTCACCAGAAAAGCAATTGTGCAGAACAGGGGGAAGAAAATGAAGACATTACCCTCCTATAAGAATTCTGCCTCTAAATGAAATTTTCTTTCAAATTTCTAGCATTGCAATATCTTGAAACATCACTTGAGCATTTAGAAATACAGTTTAAACAAGCAAAATTAGGGAATGAGAACAGAGCAAATATAAGAACTCTAAATGTTGACTAATTTCAGCGTCTTACTCTCTGCAATATTAGAATTGTGAGGACTGAAGGAACATTTAATAAAGGGGGCAGAATTCTTATTGAGGAGTCAATGCTCTCATTTTGCCCTCTCCCCTCAACAGCAGCACTCCTCATACAGAATGAAAATCCTCATAGAACCACTGATATACTCTATAAGTACATGAGTACATATAGTCTTTAAAATTTAGAGTCTAAGGAGTTTATCACATGCACTTTTCAGCCCGATCCATGCATGGGACGGGATCGGGCTGGAAAGGGGGGGAAACGGGTTTTACCACACATGAAATTGCTGCTGTGCTGCCGGCCGACCATCACCCATCCCGATCCAGCCTCTGCTGGTTGATTTTGGTACTACAGAAAGCTTCCGTAGTACCAAAATCAGACAGCAGAGGCCAGATTGGGGGCAGGTGGCAGTCAACTAGCAGTGCAGCAGCAATTTCATGTGCAGTAAAACCTGTTTCCCCCATTCCAGCCTGATCCCCTCCTGTGCACGGATCGGGCTGAAAAGTGCATGTGATAAACTCCTTAGTGTTTTATAATCACAGAAACAAAGTGACCAAAATAATGTTTTTCTATGCTACTGAAAAGTCATAGTTTCAAAATGCCAATATTTAAATGTGTATTTGTTATTCTGCAGTTGGAGTAAAACTGATGCAATCCTTAATTGAACTACATATCTGTTGTGTTTTTGTATGCTTTCAAGTCATTTTTGACTTATGGTGACCTTAAGGCAACCTTATCAATGAGGTTTCTGAGCATGTGACTTGCCCAAGAACACCCAGTGGGTTTCCATGGCAGAGTGGGAATTGAACCCTGATCTCCAGAGTTGTAGTCCAACACTCAAACCATTACACCATGCTGGCTCTAGTTTTCTAAATTTAGTCTATTCCACTTTGTAGAACACTCCGTCCAATGGTATTCATTTGCTTGCAGAAGATACTTAGTGGATCCAGGTTTTGGCAATTCTCCTTCTGTACATCTCTCTGTGTAGCCTCAACAGGACTTATTCTGCTTCCTTAATATAAATTTAAAGGGCGAGTCACTTCACAAACCATCCTTAGAGTATCTCTCTGCCTTTAGCACAGGATTTCCACAATACAGTCTGCTTTGTCCCAAGTTCAAGAACTAAGTAGATTGAAGAAGAAGGAAAGAAGCAATGTTGTTGTTATATTTGTTTACATCTCTCCTTTTTCCCAGGACTCAATGCAGTTTACAACAATTAAAACAAAGAGTTAAAACAAAATAATGTACCTCATGCAAATGTTAAATTTACCTCATACAAAAGTTAAAAATGGAATTAAACTATCAATAAAATTAAAACCAATTAAAAACATAGGCCTGGATTCTGTTGCTAGTCCTTCTTAATGTAGATCCTTTGAATCAACGAGATTTGGCTACAGGTAAATTTTGAATGTGTTTACTCCAGTTAGGACTAACCAAAAGGATTCCAGCCAATGCCATTAAGACACAGCTTAAGATGACAATACCACTAGTTTCATTCTTTTGATCCATTTGCTCCATTTTCATCCTCCCTCCACCCCACTCATAAACCAAGCAGTGTCAGAATTGCCTAAACTCTGCTCTTAGTAATCACAAGTTACAGACTGCTAGGTAGTTGTACTTAATTTGTTTTTCAGTAACCAATGTAATAACTAAGGACCTTATCACACAGGGGAAATCTCATGCAAAAACAGAATTTAAAAGGTGGGGGAAGCCCACAAAAGCAGGTAAATTATCACACACATCACTTTTCAAGTGTGCTTAACCCGAACAGAAAGTTGTCAAAAGCCACTTCTTTTTACTTTTGGGATTTTCCACTTCTTTTGTTGCATAGTGGAATCTTTTTAGTTACATTTATATTTCTACCAGTATGGCTGATGAAATGATGAAGGAAGAATATTTTGATTCAAATACTTGGAGGTCTTGAAACTATAACAGTAACTCAAGTTGTTTTTAAAAGTGACTTTCTGGACTCACCTGTGAAATACACATATCTGAGCTATATAGTATACGTAGAAATGATAAGCTTATGGTTTCCAGTAACTGAGGACATTTTAACTATAAAATAGAAACAAATATATTGTTGTTCATCTGTCAGATTAATTTCATTTAAAATATATACCATTGTACTTAGGTTATCAGACAGCATCTTGTTAATTTAACCTCACTTGTTAATATAATTGTAATATCCTTGTCTCATGTGCTTGGGTATGATTTTGATAATGCTGAATACCATATTTGTTCAAGTAATTACTACATTATCATATTGATTTTCAACATCCTGATTCATTTCTAATACATTTGGATTTTGTAAATGTTACACATCCCTAAAATTAGATACCACAGTGCATTAAATTATAATTTCTCTTCTACTCTGAGATGTTTATCATTTTGATTTGGGATGTACTTGTATCTAACAATAAGATTAGATTAAATAGATGATTGCTCTCCAGTGCAGACTAATTAGCTGACCATGACAAAGGAATTGGTGAATTTTCTTTGGAGGATTGAATATAGATGAAATTATATTTGTCACCAATTTAAACTTCATTATTCACCTACATTCTGTTTTCATTCTGTCCTAATCCAGAGATAAAATACATAATCCTGATATTTTAATGTCGATATTTCTTTAGTAAATAGATAAAAATTGTCATATAGGGCATACTTATTTTTAGCTACTAATTGAACAAACACTCCATAAAGGAAGGGAAATGTTTTAAAAAAATCTTCATAATTTTGCCAATCTGGATTTGGTTTTTCATCAGTCTGTAAGTGATGAAGAGCCATTTACTGGCTGTGCTTTGTCCCTGTAATTAATTGTTTTTCTTGTTCCAGTTTCTCTAGTCCTCAGCTTCCTGGTTTGGATTTAATGGAATCTGAATAACATTGTATTATTTAAACTGAGCAATTTTAATATAATTATATTGTTTATATTGAATATACTAAATATTTATATAAATATTATTTCTATTTCTATTATGGCATGACATTATTTATATTGTAAGACAATACTTTACATACAGAGATCTTAGTACCCATATTAGTTAAGTTATACAAGGCTTGCTTTCCATACAAAAGTCCCAAGTTCACATCTTCATATTGGTCTGGGAAAGACTCCTGCATGAAACCTTGGAAAGCCTATACCAATCAGTGTCAACAATACTGGGCAAGATGAATCAATGGTCTGAGTCATAAGACTGATTCCTATGCTGAACATGTTCATTCTCATACAGTAAAGATTGAGAAAATATAGTAATAACAATCCAGCCACTACAATGGGACAAAACTTGAGAGAACATTTTAGTCCTTTATGATATCAACCTTCATCTGCTTCTGTGTCCAAACAGCACCTATTATGAAAAATGGCACCTCGTGACATTCCCATACCTTTGAAAATTCAGGGTATAGTTGAAGCTCAGCTGTGAGCAGCTGTTTCTATCACCAGAAGAAAACTCTACTGAAATTGCCAAGAAATTTCTTCCAGGTCCCCAGATCAGGTCTCAAAAAATTAATCCTCTGGTGGGAGTATCACAGTTCTCAATGAACATGAAGATGTCATCACAGGAAAACCCTCCCAAGGCTGAGTTACTGTGGCCTGTATTATGGGGCAGATAGAAAATGGATGACAACCCATACAGATGGAACACTCATGACAGAATCTGCAAGGATTCCATTACAAAAGTCCCTGGAGCAAACTCTTTAACAGAATAGACAGGCTTGAACTCCTCAAAGGGGATCACAAAAGAGAATATTTGCAGAAGAGTTAACTGCAATATGACTTGTATCCATTATCTCACCCTAAACAGCAGAAGCTGGAGGCATCATCTGGCCCAATTTTTATCTACTCTTTTATGCTTGGGTTTATCTTGGCCCTATTGTCCCCAGTCACTTTATCTTTTTTTCTCCTATCCATTATCCTCGTATTCTTCAAACTTCCTCATCTCTCCAAAGCAGTGGCCAAACGGGTCTCATGATCAGCCACTACAATCTTCTCTTCCAGAAAGCCACTGTGAAGTCACTGAGCCGTGAGACAGAACACATTTGTAGACTTCATACCTCATCCCCCTGATTTCATCCAAGTACATCCTTGGCCTAACATTGCCTCCTAGATCTAGCAGCAGAATCTATCTCAAGATGAAAGGAGTTTGGTCTGTCAAGGGAAGAATAATTTGGATAATGAAAAATTTCCTGCGCATTTATTGGCATTTTAGAATATATTGGGAGAAATTAACTGGAAATGTTTTTTAAAAAAGTTGATACAAATTTCTTTAAAACCTCAGTGAATAGAGAGTAATAAGATCTGGTCCTTACCATACTAATTGCTACTGATTATATTGGCAAAGAACTGAAAATAAATAAATTCCATTTGATGTTCGAGCATCAGTCAATTAAGAGTCTGATATTAGCATCTGTCCTATTAGTTTTCTGTTTCTTATAGACAACTTTTGACAAATATTCTGTGAAGGTAAGAATGTCTTTGTATAAATAGCCTACATTTCTAATTCTACCATAGGAAGTGCAGAGTGCAAGTAAGGATGAGTGTATTGTGGGGGAGACTGGGAGATGTCTGTTTTCTTTGCCACCAGATTTTTCACAACTTCACAAATAAGATTTCTAAATCTGCTACCATGTCACTGATCAAAAGAAATTGTTATTCCACCTAAAGGGAGGAGAGAGCTTTTAGAACTGTGTTCAGTTTTTGTACAATTTTTGATGAACAAAACATGGCATGCTCAACTGAGAAGTGTACTAAAGGTACATGTGTAGGAAGTAAAGTCACCACTTTATTCTCTAGTACATTTACAACTCACTGCAATCTGAATAGAGGTGTTTTTTTTTCGGACAAAACATATTCATCCACAGTTGTTAATGGCAATAAGACTATCAAATCATTTCTAGTATAAGCTGCAGTTCTAATCATATAAGACATCCTACCTATTTCTGATATTTTGGTGCATATTCTGCTATGTTTTGTTCACACCACTGCAAGAAAACATGTGTGGGTGGGTAATGGACAAATGAACGCTTTCTCCTTCTCTTCATCATCTTTCCCCTAGTGATGCATTCATTCCCAAATTGGGGCTTAATGAATATGCAGGCTTTGTAGATAGGCTGTTCTGATTGTTTGGTTTTTTGAAAAAAATATTGTCCTCTAGTCCCCTCTACCATTTTACCTTGCTTTGGCCATTACTTTGAACTGCATTGTCTCTACCCATATTTGTTTCTGTCCACAGGATATAGGTGTTGGGAAATGTGAGAAATAGTACTGGAATTTACAGGCAAAGTATTGAAATTGGTAAGGCTGAACAACAAGAATCTCATGATGACACCTATACATTGTCTACCAGAAACACCATAATAAGTTTTGTCCTTTTTGTAATTAACAACAACAACAACAACATAAACATCACTTTATATACAGAATACTTGTACCTAATCAAACACAGGGTCTTAAGGAGGAGAGAGGAGAAGAAGAAAATGGTTGTAAATTTAAAAGACATAAGAAGAGAATGTGTGCTAAAGCATCTTTTATATTTCTCATAAACCTGTTGTTAGTGTAACTATATTTTTAATTTTAATTTTTAATTATATTTTAATTATAAAATTAAAAAATAATAATTTTGTAAGCCATCTTGAGGGATGGTCTGGGGAAAAGGTAGGTCATAAAGAAGGTGGAAGAGGAGAAGCAGCAGTAAATAAACAAACAGGAAGTCACCACAGTACAAACTAGAAATTATTCAATAAAAGCATGGAAAGCTTGCTAACTTTTAATGACACCCTTCCTTTTCCCACCTTATTTTAAAACAAATTCTGGGTTGCTACTTCTCCCCCTCCCTGGTAATAATAATAATAATAATAA